CCGACAACCTCGTCCGCGTGTGGCAGGTCACCATCGGCACCAGATGAGCAACGCGGCGGCCACAAATCCATAACTTTTTATGTACAAAAACGAGGAAAAAAAAAAAAATCAATAAAAAAAGAGCTCTTTCCATCAAGCTCCCGCCCAGCCCACAACTTGGAGGTTGGTGGAACACCCCGAGATGGGGCTTTGTGGCCCCAAAAAGTTGTCCCCAGGCCTACAAGAGGTTGGGGACGTGGTGGTGGGAGGGGGGTTTTTGGGGAGCGACCAGAGGAATTTGGATAATAAAAAAACCCCCAAATTTAAATTTTAAAAAAAAGCATAATACTTAAAAATGAAGAGGGGAGGGAGATGATGATGATGATGTGGTGGACGACGTGGTGGGACTGAGAAGACTTTTCTTCAACCCTTGGGGACTCGGGGTGGGGGAGGGGGGGTTTCTTCTCCCACACCACAAAAAAAACCCAACCACAACTTGGGAAAAACTTGACACAATTCCTTAAAAACACCCCCAAAATTGAGAAATTTAAGACCCCGAGGTGACAAGTGACATTTTCAGAGCGGTCGTCAACCAAGGAGAGGTTTTAACCCCCAATTTCTCAACCCTCAGCCTCTCAGCCCCTCAAGTTTGTGCATAAAACCACCATTTTTTACAAATTTAGGACTCTTTTTTTGCTTTTTCCGCCCCAAAAAGCCACCCCTGTCCCCAAGATGGAAGGGACTTTGTCCCTCAGCCCTTGGAAGCGGCCGAGATCCCTTTTAGGTGGATAAAACCAAGTGGGACACGTGGCTCTGGGCCTGACTTAAGCTAATTAAGAGTAATTAAGCCAAGATATAACGAGGCAAGATCTTAATTGGAATAATCAGGGACCGAGCCCCTGATTCCGGTGCCCAATTTTAAGCCAAATCTCTTCAAAAACGGCGCCGCCGGGATCTCAATAAACCAAAGACTCGGGTTTAGAACCTTAATCTTTATTAATTATTATTATTATTTTCTTGCCATTTAATAAAACTAAATCTCCATTTAATTCTCTTTTTTTTTTATTTTTTTTTTTTAGCCAAAAATATTTTAAACTAGCTCTGTAATGCCAACAGGAAACAAAAAAAAATAATTAATAATAATACCAATCCACCAACAGAAAAAAAATTAAAGAATAAAACACAGAGTCTCTCGAAGGGGATGAGATTGAGCTGGAATTCAGCAACTG